CCTGGAGACACCTCCCTGATCCCAAAAATCCCCCCTGGAGACACCTCCCTGATCCCAGGAATTCCCCCTGGAGACACCTCCCTGATCCCAGGAATTCCCCCTGGAGATACTTCCCTTGGGAATCGTTTCCCCCCATCCCCTCCATTAAACCCAAACCCTTTTTTGGGGGGACATTCTCCTTAAATGGGGCATCGCCGAGGCCCACCTGGCTCCAGGTGTGGAATTCCGTGGAATTCCAAGGATTCCCCCGTTGTCTCCCCTCAGTATGAACTGGCCACGGTGACGGAGAAGGGGGTGCAGGTGGAGGGACCCCTGACCCTGGAGGCAAATTGGGACATCGCCCACGTGGTCAGGTAACGATCCCGGGGCCGGGGGGACATCCCAGGGGACATTCCAGGTGTTCCAGGGGACATCCCAGGGGACATCCAGGAGCCCCAGGGGACATCCAGGAGCTCCAGGGGATATCCAGGAGCTCCAGGGGATACCCAGGTGTTCCAGGGGATATCCAGGTGTTCCAGGGACATCCAGGAGCTCCAGGGGATATCCATGAGCTCCAGGGGACATCCAGGTGTTCCAGGGGATATCCAGGAGCTCCAAGGGATATCCAGGTGTTCCAGAGGGATATCCAGGTGTTCCAGGGACATCCAGGTGTTCCAGGGGACATCCAGGAGCTCCAGGGAATATCCAGGTGTTCCAGGGGACATCCAGGAGCTCCAGGGGATATCCAGGAGCTCCAGGGGAAATCCAGGTGTTCCAGGGACATCCAAGAGCCCCAGGGGACATCCAGGTGTTCCAGGGGACATCCATGAGCTCCAGGGGACATCCAGGTGTTCCAGGGAATATTCAGGTGTTCCAGGGAATATTCAGGTGTTCCAGGGGACATCCAGGAGCTCCAGGGGATATCCAGGTGTTCCAGGGAATATTCAGGTGTTCCAGGGGATATCCAGGAGCTCCAGGGGATATCCAGGTGTTCCAGGGACATCCAGGAGCCCCAGGGGACATCCAGGAGCTCCAGGGGATATCCAGGTGTTCCAGGGTGACATTCCAGGTGTAGGAATGGTCCTGACCTTCCCAATCCCTTTTCTTGCAGCGGCTTCGAGTGAACTCCGGGAGCTGCTCCAGGTCGTCACATCCACCCTTTGTATCCCACCCTTTGCATCCTCGTCCCTTTGGAATGTCCCATCCATGTTTTGGGAATAAAACCAGACCTTTTCAGACCAGGCTCCGTGTTTGTGCCGCCAAAAAAATTTGGGATCCTCCCAAAACAGGGATTTGAGGGGGAGGGGGGGTCTCGGAGTTCCAGGTGAAGCTGCAAAGTCCTGGTTTTTGCTGGAATCTTGGAATTGTTCAGGTTGGGATCGCGGAGTCCATGAAATCCTGTCCCCAGGTGCCACATCCAACACGTTCTTTGGGCATTCCAGGGTGGGATTTTCCCAAATATCCGACCTGAATTCCCCCTGGAGCAGCTTCAGGTCAGTCCCGGGCTCTGGGTGGGGTCGGGATCTCTTGGCCGACCCCAAAACAGCCCAGATTTGCCCCAAATCAAGACTTACACGGAGCAGGTCCTGCATTATTCCAGCTGGGAATCCAAGGAATTCCGGGAAGGCAAAAAAAAGGCTCAATAATCCACCTTTAGGAGTCACCTGTGCATGGAAGGAAAACACGTCTGGGAAGAGATTTTTTTGTTAAAATCACATTTTTTGGGAGGTTGAAAATGACCTCAGGGAGAGAGGGGGATTTTCCTGGGAGGGATGGGGCTGGATCCGGGAAAAAAACAGGGATAAAGGGCTGGATTGGGGCATTTTTGGTTTTATAGGAAAGAAATGAAGAATAAAATAAATATTTGCTGAACCTTAAGTTTAAAAAACAAGGAAATATTTCAGTAAAATAAGGAAACAGTAAAAGGAGACACTTGGGTAAAATATGAAACTCTCTGTAAAATATGGAATTATTTCAGTGGAATATTGAAATATTTCAGCAAAATAAGGACATTAATTAATATGAAAATGATGTTTTGACCAGCACAGAGAACCACCAGGAAATACATTTCTTCAGGAAGAGTTTTATTGACATTTTTTATCCGACTTTTTATTTATTTAAAAAGAGAAGGAAGAAGTCTCTCGGTGGGAAGAGTCCAGTCGTGGCACTGAACCCCCTTCCCGGGAAAAAGGGGGGGGGTGGAAAATTAAATTAAAACTTAAATTAAAACCCCATCTCTGGTTTTCTCCAGGACACGGGAAGGGTGGGAGCAAATCCCTGCTGCCCCTTTGGGAATTCCAGGAGTTGGGAGGGAATAAAAACACGTGTTTAGAAAAAAACTCCATTTCCCTGGTTTTTTATTCAACGTTTCCACGGCTGTACAATTCCAAGCTGAACCATTTACAGGCCTTGCACATGCTGCTTCCTGCTTTCCTTAGGGAAAAGAGAAGGGAAGAGGGGGGGAAAAAGGCTCACAAAAAAAACCCAAACCTCTGGAAACAGAAAGGTGCAGCTGCCTCTGGATTTCTGGGATCAGAAACCCACCCAGGCAAGTTAAAAAACCCCTCCAAAAACATGCAAGTTGTAGAAAAAATCCGAAGCTGGCAGTGAAAAATAAAAACAAATAGTTCTTCGTTGTCGTTGTCACAGTTTGGTTCCGAAATCCCATTTTTTTTCCCTAATCCTAAAGGATTGGATGGACCTAAAGGGGGTTTAAACGTCACTATTGGGAATTCAAGGGCAATTTTGTGGGCGCTGGGAGGGAGATCCAAGAACAACTTGGTTTTTTTTCCTCCTCATCCCAGTGCCCTCTGTCGGGAATTCTTTGGAGCCGGGTGGTTTTCCAGGGAAAAATCACCGGGAAAAACGAGAGGGTTTTTGGGGAGGGTTCTGCCCCTAAAAGCTGCTCCCGACCCCAAATCTGCTGGCATCGAACAGGTTTCACCCCCCCCGGCCAAATTCATAACCAAAAAAACCCCAAAAAGACCCAAAGCAACCCCAAAATCTCCCCTGGGCCAATCCGAAGGTTCACACGTTGAGAGCAAGGTTGGAACTTCCCCGGGTCAAGTGTCACAAAACCAAGAAGAAAAAAACCACCTGTATTTTTTTTAAGATGACCCCAAAAAAGTTTTGAGAACTGGTTTTTTCAGAGCTACATCTGCTTTTTTTCCTCCTTTTTCCCCCAGAACGGTCACGTTGACAAATGTCCGATTCAGAAAAAAAACCCCAACATTTCTGCACGATAAAAACCCAGAAACTCTGATACAAGTGAGGTAAAAGGGAACGCTCAAAAAATAGCCACCCACGAAATAATTTCCAGAAAAATACCAAAACACGGTGATTTTTTAAAAAAAAAAGAAAAAAAAAAGAAAAAAACGAAAAAAAAAGGGAAAAAGGAAATAAAAAGCACAAAAAAACTCCCGAAACGAAACAGCAGAAATGGCTATTTTTTGTTTTGTTTTTTTTGTTGTTTTTTTTTAATCTCGAGTGATCGCCTACGAAAATTCCTAAAACCCCACAAATCCACAGGGAAGTGTGTCATGGTCTCAATCCAACGTTTATTCCAAAAAAATAACCCCCTTTTCTGTGTGTTCTGTGTGTGTTTTTTGTGTGTGTGGCTCCCGGCTCAGATCTCCATCAGCTCCAGCTCGGCCTCCTCGAAGCCGTAGAACGACTCGGTCTCGCTCTCGCCCTCGAAGAGCCGCTGGAGGATCTCGGGGTCGGCCGATTCCTCGGGTCGGGGGGTCTCCTCCCCTTCCTGGGGCTCCGGGGGCTCCTCCTCCTCCTCGGCCCGTCCCAGCTTGAGCTGCTCCTCCAGCGAGGCGATGAGCTCCTCCTGCATGTCCCCGTTGCGCGCCGGCGAGTTGGCGGCGCCGTCGGGGCCGGGCAGGACGCTGGCCACCAGGAAGGATTGCTGCACCAGCTCCGGCGAGTCCCCGATGACCTCGAGCGCCTCAGCCAGCCAGCACAGCACCAGCTGCAGCAGGATGTCCGAGTCGCACGCCGCCGGGTCCTCCGCCATCTCCCGGGCCTGCTCCTTCCACTTTTTGTGCAAGAAGTTTTTCACGGTCCTCTTGACGCAAACGTCCAGGGGCTGGGCCTTGGCGCTGCAGCCGGCGGGCACCACGGCGGGCAGGGTGCTGGAGGAGCTGAGCACGGCCAGCACCTCCTCGCTCAGGTGGGTCCGGTGGCAGTCCAGCACCAGCATGCCCTTGCCGGGATGGGAGGAGGAGGACGAGGAGGAGGAGGAGGATGAGGAGGATGAGGATGAGGAGGAGGAGGCCCGGTGGCAGGAGGCCACGTGCTCGTGCCAGACGCGCGAGGCCCAGAGCTCCATGACCTCGTCGTCGCTGTAGCCGCCCTCGCGGGCCTCCAGCAGGACGCAGTCGGGCACGTTGGCGGGCGCCCGCACGCGGCCCCGGTAGAGCACCAGGGCGGGCAGGACGCCGCCGTCGGCCAGGATGGCCAGCACCACGTCGCACCAGGGCTCCCCGTGGCCCACGGTCTGCAGGGCGCCCTCGCGGCCCGGCGCCTCGGCGTCCAGGAACAGGGAGATCTCGTCCACGGCGGCGATCATGGACAGCGGCAGGTCCTGCGTGTGGATCTGGCGCTGCACGAACTCGATGAAGGAGCCGGCGCTGTCCTCCACGCCCTTGGGCAGGGGCTGGGCCACGGCCCGGCGCGTGTGGCTGCTCAGGTGGTGCCTCAGCATGAACCTCACGGCCCACTCGTAGGAGATCTTGAAGCCGCCGTCCAGCGAGCGGCCGATCTTGGTGGCCTTCTGGAAGAGGGTCTCCTCGTTGACGGGCAGCTGCTGCTCGCGCTGGGTCAGCACCCACTCGGCCAGCTTCTCCTCCGCCTCCAGGCTCAGGTACTTCCCCTCCAGGTTCTCCTCCTGGGACGCCTGCAGGGGGAGGAAAAATAATTTCTGCCTTGAGTTTAAAAAGGCGGCAAAAAAATTTAAGGAATGAAAAGGAAGGGGTTGTTCGGGTCCGGGTTCTTCAGGGAGAAAAGACATTTCCCTTTGGAATGGAAAGGGATGGGATGAAGAGGACATTTCCCTTTGGAATGGGATGGGGTGGGATGAGATGGGATGGGATGAAGAGGACATTTCCCTGTGGAATGGAAAGGGATGGGATGGGATGGGATGAAGAGGACATTTCCCTTTGGAATGGAATGGGATGGGATGGGATGAGGAGGACATTTCCCTGTGGAATGGAATG